CAGATTGGGCACCCCACAAACATTTTCCTGAAACAAACTAAGCTAATCGAAATGGCTACTCAAATCAAGATAAATAGCGAAACATTGAATTTTTAGTTCATACTTTGTGGTTTGCTGCATAAAATGGACAAAAAGTGACATTGTTTCAAATGTTTGCAATAATGCGAACTTGATAATCAACACCAGTGAACGTGTCTCTGAGGCTGGGAAGCTGCCAAGGACTGCAGAATGCAGCAGAGTCACACCAACTGAAAGTCAGGTTTATCAGTTATTCAGTTCCAGTATCCTCGTGGAACACTTTGTTTAACCTCGGAGCACTGGGGAACAGCGACTCTATTTTTAAAAACAGGAAAAAATTTGTCCGGGGAACAGCGACTGCCCTAAGCGAATACCTCGTCGTGATGGTATTGATGATGGTATCGATACACCCGCGGCCCGACAAAAAGATTTTAAAATAAATCCTTTAAAACTATGTCTAATCGTAAAAATAATATCAAATTCGGAACCAGCGTGTCCAAATTAACAAATTAACTCGCGGTTGACTGTTTTTCTTGCTGGATTTAGAAGATCACAAAAAGAAGTATTATATAGATTCTACCAAGATTGCATCTTGTAGTATTTTCCTATCATAAAGAGGACAGACAACAGTCACTTTTAATTGATTTCATAATAGACCCCCCCCCTCCCCCCCTTTCAGTGTGAAGTGACACGTGGGAGGCTGAGACGCAAAATTCCTTTGATGTTTGCCGCCGCGCGGGATTAAACTTTGCGCGCAGAATTTTCAAAATAATTATCGCAGCTAAAAATTTATTTCATTTTCGAAATCGGCGTATCAAAATAAGCAAAGTGGCTCACGTAGAACCTGATTTGATGCCATATTTCAAAATTTGAGCAAACTTGTTTTCAATTGTCTATTTTCAATCTAAAGTCAGGTATCAAGGTCACCCAGTGCGTTGTAAGTGCATCTGACGTCAAAGCTGTTAGGTCTACACACTGCACACTAGATATCTACTATCAACTACTGCACAGTCACTGTACAGTGTGCAGTAGGCCTATTGTGTCTTGGTCGAAAGAATCTCTTATTCTCTTTATTGAGATGTAGAGGCCTACAGATCCCTCGAAAGTCTGTGGACGATTAAGTCCAGAGACTACAATAACAAATTATTAAGAGAGGGCGTATGGAGAGTTTGTGCCATTAGAATTTTGCAACTAATAACTTCGTGTGCCTCTTTTTACGTTTGTTGAGTAACAACACACAGAATGCAGGCAAACTGTTGCGAAGAGTCATCTGGCTCAAGAAGAAGGAATCTCCCCCATTTTAAAGGGAATTGGACACTATAAAATGGAATGTTTAAACAGAATATGGAGTTTGATAAATCTGACAATTCTACTATACGAAGAATGTAATACGATTTGTCGCTGAGAGTTACTTGGGCTTTACATATTAACCCTTTTCACGGCAACCTATTTATATCCCTTTGACCGACAACTGGGTGTAACACACCCGCACATGTATTATACAGTGGGTTCCAAAAGAAACTTGATAATGTAATCACCCAATAATTGGGTTAAAGCCTTAAACTACCCACTCATACAACGTACCAATTTAAAGCTATATAAATTCTGCATCATCTGACATAATAATATTTCATCTATGTTAAGAGATGTTTGATATAATACTATGGTCACTCAAATTTGACCGTAAACAATCAGGCTTGGCAAAATTGTGCGAAATCACAGAAACGTTGTCTTCGCACGTGTATTGGAGACCATCAATATTGATAGAATGGACATACATTGCATATCCAATGAATGGAGAATTTGTTTCTCAGAAATAAACAATATTTATTGTCGATAGTTTCAATTTCAAACAAAACAGAAAACAGAGTAATCACAAATACCGCAAAAAAAACCCACATTAAATGTGCTCATTGTGATTTTGAGTAGGAGCCATTGGTTTTGTGTAGTGCACGAACCCATAGGGCATCGACTCTGCTCAATTTTGGACAATTATCAGTCATTTCATCCCAGATGTCACAGACGGTTGCAAACGAAGGGTTTGAATTGGGAGCAACGACAATTTTCTTCAGATGCTGTTTCATGGGATTTCACATACCTGTAGTATTCATATCGGGCTATTTACTGGTGACTACTCCAACGTTGATATGATATAGTTTTCCAAGAATTGTCTCGTGATAATAGTGGCCCATTTAGAAAGTGATTTGCCATGAATGGAGATGTCTACTTGAATGACATCATGAGGGAAAAAAGGGTAAGACATGACTTTCCAACACTTGCGCGATGTAGTCAACTAAAGCAAGCTATCCGATGATTCACATGCGGACGATTTTGTTCATTCCGTCCCATCACACCAAAAATGGCAGTTTCATGGCCTCTGCTCCTCGCTGACAGATGATTTTTCCTAAATCTAACCTACACAGCCATGTTCTAAAAGGTTTGTGCTCTACAAGAAGACCAATATCTCCTAAACAAAAACAAAATCATACTAATGAGCATATGCAATGTTAAGTCTAAGTTCAGCATGGTATTTGTAAGAAATCAGTTTTCCAACTTGTTTGAAAATATATTTCAGAACATGCCTCTCATTGCAGAGACAATACTATTTCCTTTTCATTTGATATTCAATACATTCCATTCTACTAACGTTGATGAACCCCAATACACGCGCGAACACACTCTTACGTTTCTTTGATTTCGCCCAATTTTGCCAAGCCTGAGTTTTTAAGGTCAATTTTAAATGACCATATCTCAAGCATCTCTTTACATATTATGTGAAATATTATTGTGTCAGATGATGCAGGATTTATTTAGCTTTAAATTGGCATACAGCATGAGTGGGTATATAAGTGCAAGGTTTTAACACAATGATTG